ACACACACACACACACACACACACACACACACACACACACACACACACAGATGTATTCTCTTACAGTTCTGAAGGCCAGAATTCTAAAGTCAGTCCGACTGACTCAAGGTGGGAGCAGGGTGGGCAAAAAGAGTGAAACTCTGGGTTTCGGGATCAATCCAAGATGGCTGTTTAGGAAAAGCTCAGGATTGCAGCTCCCAGTGAAAGCGCAGAGGGTGAATGGACACTGCATTTTTATTGCCCACAGACTAGGAAATTCCCAGGCGGAGGAGCTCCACAGGTCACCAGCGCAGCTGTTTCGGCCAGCACGACTGTGCTGGCTGGCGCCCCTGCTTTGCCCTGCGTGGCTGCTTTGTCAGCGCCCTGGAGCAGCGCTTCTCTGTACAAAATACACCAGTCCCGGTGCCCTTTTGGCTGGTGATTGGAGCCATGGGAAGTCACACATTCCTCTGTTTAAAAAGGGGACTGAGCAGAGAACCAGGACAGTAGATTCCAGGGCAAAAAAAAAAAAAAAAAAAAAGTGCCACAAATCTCAGTGCCGCTGTTTAAGCTAGCGCAGTGAGTCGCGACACGGGAAAACAAACAGACCCTGGTGACTCAACCGGCAACTGGAACACCAACTTAAAAAAAAAAAAAAAAGGCTCTGAGGCAGGGAGCCAGGTGATCAGGCTCAGCTGGTCCCACCCCCCACAAAAGAGCAGCAATCAGAAATTCTCTGGATTGAGAGTTTCACAGGAAGCGCAGCTGAACTCCGGATGGTCCAGCTCTGTGGCGGAGGGGCGTCCGCCATTACCGAGGCAGCCCACTACTAGAGAAGTAGTCAGCCAATGCTCAGGCAGCCTGATGTTGCCAAGGCAACCTGCCATTGCTGAGGCAGCCTGCTGTTGCCAAGGCAACCAGCCACTACAGAGACACTCCGCCTTAAAAGAGGTGGGCCACACTTGCCGAGGCAGTTCTAACTACACCCATATAAACAGGACTGCAGGGAGGTTACCTCGGCAGCTGGGCGGAGCCCACAGCCGCTCAGCAAAGCCTCTAGAGGCAGACAGTGACTAGTCTGCCTCCTTGCTGGGCAGGGCAGCTCTGATGGAAAAAAAAAAAAAAGAAGGCAGCAGCATAACAGAAACTCATAAATAAGACCCTAAATCCCTGGGACAGAGCACCTGGGAATAAAAAGCTGTTTATGAGTTCTGCTGCAGCAGACCTAACTGTACCTGCCTAGCAGCTCTGAATGAACAACAGAGCTCACAGCTCAGCATTTCAGCTCCTATAAAGAAGAGACCGTCTCCTCATGCAGCTCCCTGACCCCTGTATATCCAAAGAGCCACCTCATAAAGGAGAGATCAGACTGACACCTGGCGGGTATCCTTCTGGGACAAAGATAGCAGAAGAAGAAAACTGGTAACAACCCTTACTGTTCTGCAGCTGCTGCAGGTGATCCCCAGGCAAGCAGGGCCTGGAGTGGACCTCAGCAGACCTACAGCAGAGGGGCCATACTGTCAGAAGGAAAACGAAGAAACAGAAATAACCTCATCACCAACAAAAACAACGTCCGCTCAGAGATCCAAACTGAAAGCCAGCAACTACAAAGAAGACAGGTGGATAAATCCATAAAGATGGGAAGAAACCAGCGCAAAAAGGATGAAAACACCCAAAACCAGACACCTCTCCTCCTACAAGGGATCACAACTCCTCACCAGCAAGGGAACAAGGTTGGATGGAGAATGAGTGTGATGAAATGATGGAATCAGACTTCAGAAGGTGGGTAGTAAGAAACTTCTGTGAACTAAAAGAACATGTTCTAACCCAATGCAAAGAAACTAAGAACCTTGAAAAAAGATTTGACGAAATGCTAACAAGAATGGACAAAATAGAAAGGAATATAAGTGAATTGATGGAGCTGAAAAACACAACACAAGAACTTCCTGAAGCGTGCACAAGTATCAACAGCCGAATTGACCAAGTAGAAGAAAGTATATCAGAGGTCGAAGATCAACTCAATGAAATAAAATGGGAAGACAAGAATACAGAAAAAAGGGCAAAAAGGGATGAACAAAGTCTCCAAGAAATGTGAGACTATGTGAAAAGACCTAATCTACGTTTGATAAGTGTACCTGAATGTGACGAAGAGAACGAATCCAAGCTGGAAAATACTCTTCAGGATATTATCCAGGAAAACTTCCCCAACCTAGCAAGGCAGGCCAATATTCAAGTCCAGGAAATACAGAGAACACCACAAAGATATTCATCAAGAAGAGCAACCCCAAGGCACCTGCTCGTCAGATTCACCAGGGTTGAAATGAAAGAGAAAATGCTAAGGGCAGCCAAAGAGAAAGATCGGGTTACCCACAAAGGGAAGCCCATCAAACTCACAGCAGATCTCTCAGCAGAAACCTTACAAGCCAGAAGAGAGTGGGGGCCAATATTCAACAACCTTAAGGAAAAGAACTTTCAACCCAGAATCTCCTATCCAGCCAAACTAAGCTTCATAAGTGAAGGAAAAATAAAATCCTTTGTGAACATGCAAGTACTCAGAGATTTCATCACCACCAGGCCAGCTTCACAAGAGCTCCTGAAAGAGGATCTACACATATAAAGGAACAACGAGTACCAGCCACTCGAAAAACATGCCAAAAGGTAAAGAGAATCAACACAACGAAGAATCTGCATCAACTAATGGGCAAAACAGCCAGCTAGCACCAAAATGGCAGTATCAAATTCACACATAACAATATTAACCCTAAATATAAATGGACTAAATGCCCCAATCAAAAGACACAGACTGGCAAATTGGATAAAATGACAAAACCCATCGGTGTGCTGTATCCAGGAAAACCATCTCACATGCAAGGATACACAAAGGCTCAAAATAAAGGGATGGAGGAAGATTTACCAAGCAAATTGAGAGCAAAAAAAAAGCAGGAGTTGCAATTCTCATCTCTGATAAATTAGACTTTAAAGCAACAAAGATCAAAAGAGACAAAGAAGGATATTACATAATGGTAAAAGGATCAATGCAACAAGAAGAGCTAACGATCCTAAATATATACGCACCCAATACAGGAGCACCCAGATACATAAGGCAAGTTCTTAATGACTTACAAAGAGACTTAGACTCCCACACAATTATACTGGGAGACATTAACACCCCTTTGTCAATATTAGATCAACCTAACAGAAAATTAACAAGGATATCCAGGACTTGAACTCAGACCTGGAACAAGCAAACCTAATAGACATTTACAGAACTCTCCACTCCAAATCCACAGAATATACATTCTTCTCAGCACCACATCACACCTACTCTAAAACTGACCACATAATTGGGAGTAAATCACTCCTCAGCAAATGCAATAGAACGGAAATCATAACAAACAGTCTCTCAGACCACAGTGCAATCAAGTTAGAACTCAGAATTCAAAAACTAACCAGAACCACACAGCTTCATGAAAACCAAACAACTTACTCTTGAATGTTGACCAGATAAATAATGAAATGAAGGCAGAAATAAAGATGTTCTTCGAAAACAACGAGAATGAAGACACAAGATACCAGAATCTTTGGGACACATTTAAAGCAGTCTCTAGAGGAAAATATATAGCAATAAGTGCCCACATGAGAAGCAAGGAGAGATCAAAAATTGACACCCTATCGTCAAAACTGAAAGAGCTAGAGGAGCAAGATCAAAAAAACTCAAAGTCTAGCAGAAGACAAGAAATAGCTAAGATCAGAGCAGAACTGAAAGAGATAGAGACACAAAAGACCCTTCAAAAAATCAATGAATCCAGGAGCTGGTTTTTTGAAAAGATCAACAAAATAGACAGACAACTAGCCAGATTAATAAAAAGGAAAAGAGAATAACCAAATTGATGCCATAAAAAAGATAAAGGGGATATCACCACAGATTCCACAGAAATTCAAACCATCATCAGAGATTATTACAAACAACACTATGCACATAAACTAGTAAACCTGGAAGAAATGGATAAATTCCTGGACACTTGCCTCCTGCCAAGCCTAAACCAGGAAGAAGCTGAAACCCTGAACAAGGTCTGAAGTTGAGGCAGCAATTAAGAGCTTACCACCCAAAAAAAGCCCAGGGCCAGACGGGTTCACAGCCGAATTCTACCAGACATACAAAGAGGAGCTGATACCATTCCTTCTGAAACTATTCCAAACAATACAAAAAGAGGGAATTCTTCCCAAATCATTTTATGACACCAACATCATCCTGATTCCAAAACCCGGCAGAGACTCAACAAGACAAAAAACTTCAGGTCGATATCCATGATGAACATAGATGCAAAAATTTTCAATAAAATACTGACAAGCCCATTGCAACAGCACATCAAAAAGCTTATCCACCATGAACAAGTAGGCTTCATCCCGGGGATGCAAGGCTGGTTCAACATACGCAAGTCTATAAACGTAATTCACCACATAAACAGAACCAAAGGCAAAAACCACATGATTATCTCAATTGATGCAGAGAAGGCCTTTGACAAAATTCAACAGCTCTTTATGCTAAAAACCCTCTACAAGCTAGGTATTGATGGAACATGTCTCAAAATAGTAAAAGCTATTTATGACAAACCAACAGCCAATATCATACTGAATGGACAAAAACTGGAAGCATTCCCCTTGTAATCTGGCACTAGCAAGGATGCCCTCTCTCACCACTCCTATTCAATATAGTACTAGAAGTTCTAGCCAGAGCAATCAGGCAAGAAAAAGAAATAAAGGGCATTCAAATAGGAAAGGAGGAAGTCAAATTGTCTCTATTTGCAGACGACATGATTGTATATCTAGAAGACCCCATCATCTCAGCCCCAAATCTCCTGAAACTGATAAGCAACTTCAGCAAAGTCTCAGGATACAAAATCAATATGCAAAAATCACATGCATTCCTATACACCAATAACAGGCTTAAATAGAGCCAAATCAAGAACAAACTTTCATTCACAATTGCCACAAAGAGAATAAAATACCTAAGAATACAACTAACAAGGAACATAAAGGACCTCTTCAAGGAGAACTACAAGCCACTGCTCAATGAAATCAGAGAGGACGCAAACAGGTGGAGAAACATTCCATGTTCATGGTGAGGAAGAATCAATATCGTGAAAATGGCCATACTGCCCAAAGTAATTTACAGATTCAATGCTATCCCCATCAAGCTACCAATGACCTTCTTTGCAGAACTGGAAAAAACCACCTTAAACTTCATATGGAACCAAAAGAGAGCCCACATAGCCAAGTCAATTCTAAGCAAAAAGAACAAAGCGGGAGGCCTCACACTACCGGACTTCAAACTATACTACAAGGCTACAGTAATCAAAACAGCATGGTACTGGTACCAAAACAGAGATATAGACCAATGGAACAGAACCGAGGTCTCGGAGGCAACATAACATATCTACAACCATCTGATCTTTGACAAACCAGACAGAAACAAGCAATGGGGAAAGGATTCCCTGTTTAATAAATGGTGTTGGGAAAACAGCGAGCCATGTGCAGAAAGCAGAAACTGGATTCCTTCCTGACACCTTACACTAAAATTAACTCGAGATGGATTAAAAACTTAAACATAATACCTAACACCATAAAAACCCTAGGAGAAAATCTAGGCAAAACCATTCAGGACATAGGTGTAGGCAAGGACTTCATGACCAAAACACTAAAAGCATTGACAACAAAAGCCAAAATAGACACATGGGACCTAATCAAACTCCACAGCTTCTGTACAGCAAAAGAAACAGCCATTAGAGTGAATCAGCAACCAACAGAATGGGAAAAATATTTTGCTGTTTACCCATCTGACACAGGGCTGATATCCAGAATTTACAAAGAACTAAAACAGATTTACAAGAAAAAAACTAACAAGCCCATTCAAAAGTGGGCAAAGGATATGAACAGATACTTTACAAAAGAAGATATACATGAGGCCAACAACCATATGAAAAAATGCTCATCATCACTGGTCATCAGAGAAATGCAAATCAAAACCACATCGAGATACCATCTCACGCCAGTTAGAATGGCAATCATTAAAAAATCTGGAGACAACAGATGCTGGAGAGGATGTGGAGAAATAGGAACACTTTTACACTGTTGGTGGGAGTGTAAATTAGTTCAATCATTGTGGAAGACAGTGTCATGATTCCTCAAGGAACTAGAAATAGAACTTCCATATGACCCAACAATCCCATTACTGGGTATATATCCAAAGGATTATAAATCGTTCTACTATAAGGCCACATGCACACGAATGTTCATTGCAGCACTGTTTACAATAGCAAAGACCTGGAGCCAACCCAAATGCCCATCGATGATAGACTGGACAGGGAAAATGTGGCACATATACACCATGGAATATTATGCAGCCATCAAAAATGATGAGTTTGTGTTCTTAGTAGGAACATGGATGAACCTGGAAACCATCATTCTCAGCAAAGTCACAGAAGAGCAGAAGATCAAACACCACATGTTCTCACTCATATGCGGGTGTTGAACAATGAGAGCACATGGACACAGGGAGGGGAGCACTACACATTGGGGTCAGTTGGGGGGAAATAGGGGAGGGACGGTGGGGGTGGGGATCTGGGGAGAGAGAGCAAGGGGAGAGATGCCAGAGGTAGGTGATGGGGAGGAAGGCAGCAAATCACACTGCCACGTGTGTACCTATGCAACAATCTTGCATGTTCTTCACATGTACCCCAAAACCTAAAATGCAAAAAAATAAATAAATGGGAAAAAAAAAGTGAAACTCTGTCTCAAACACACACACACACACACACACACACACACGCACGCACACACACACACAGATGTATTCCCTTACAGTTCTGAAGGCCAGAATTCTAAAGTCAGTCCCACTGACTCAAGGTGGGAGCAGGGTGGGCAAAAAGAGTGAAACTCTGTCTCAAACACACACACACGCGCACACACACACACACACACACACACACACACACACAGAGATGTATTCCCTTACAGTTCTGAAGGCCAGAATTCTAAAGCCAGTCCCATTGACTCAAGGTGGGAGCAGGGTGGGTCCCTTCCAAGTCTCTGTAGGAGAGTGTGTTTCCTGGCCCTGGAGGCAGCCTGCACTCCTCAGCTTGTGCTGTCCTTCTTGAATGACTCAAGGTTTCTGCTTCCATCACTACACTTCCCACAGCTCTCCATCACCTGCTCTGCTCTTATAAGGATCCAGATGAGTACATCAACCCCACTGTGACAAGACAGAATAATCTTTCCAGCCAAAAATTCTAAACTTATATCTGCAAAACTTTTACCATGTGAGGTCATGTTCACTGCTTCCTGGGATTAGGTTATGAGCAACTTAGTGGGTCACTATCCGCCTACTAGAGGTATGCTGCAAAACTATTTCACCTTCCTGGTGTTTCAGTGATTGGGAGAAAAAGGATTGGAATTTTTTGCTTTGGGTCTCCTCTTAAACTTGTTTTTTTTTTTTCTTTTTTGAGATGGACTTGTGCTCTTTCATACAGGCTGGCTGCAGTCTTGGTTCCCTGCAATGTTTGCCTCCTGGGTTCAAGTGATTCTTCTACCTCAACCTCCAGAGTAGTTGGGACTACAGGTGCCTGCCACCATACCTGGCTAAGTTTTGTATTTTTGGAGGAGATAGGGGCAAGGAGGGGGTAGTGGAAGGTGGAAAAGGGGACGGAAGTTTCTTCTATGTTTCTCTGAGCTCAAAGCGATCCACCTACCTCTGCTCCCAAAGTGCTAGGATTACAGGCCTTCATTACCTCACTGGCTGCTGTGAAGTCTTATTTCCACACAGCTGAGACATGTTTTAGGAAGTTTGCTAAAAGAACCCTGGAGACCTTCTCATTGTGGCCTCCCTGTTACCATATTTAATTTGATGGATCTTTTCTGCCCTCCTGCTTTTCAGAAATTAAAAGGATAAAAAGAGGTACTAAACTTTAAAACTTTCTTCTAGTCTCCAATTAAACTAATTATAAGAACCACCAAAAAAGGGAATTTTTTTTTTCAAAAGCAGTAAAATGATATGAACTGTTGAGATGTAAAATATAGGAAATAAGTCATTATATGTTAGTGTTGCTCTGACATAGGGTTGTATTGAGAATCAAGCTTTGCTCAATTTTCAGAGAAATGGAATGATCGTATTGCTGATCTGTGTAAACATTGAAGAATTATCTGAAAGAAAATATGGTATGTCTGAACTGGAAAAGTCCTGTAATACTTTGTTCATGAATGTTCACACAGTGGAGTCACTGTTCATCTTGTAGTGTGTGCCTAAATATTAGAAACATTCTTTGTTTCTAGATTACTACAAAGCTAAGGAAAAGTTGTATCTCTTAAATTATCAGTTAGCATTTCTTTCAAACTTTCAGCATGGATATTGGGGATTTGTTTACATATTTATTATAAAGCCCTGGATCTTAGGGATTTTATATATATATATATATATATATGTGTGTGTGTGTGTATATATATATATATGTGTGTGTATATATACATATATATATGAATTGTTTCTCTTTATCTGCTTTGTTAAATTCGGTATTTGGCCAGGCATGGTGGCTCATGCCTGTAATCCCAGCACTTTGGGAGCCCACGGTGGGCAGATCACGAGGTCAGCTTGGCCACGTCTCTTATCCTGTCTGAGCCTTAGTATGTTCTTTTGTGGTCATGAGAACTGAAGATCTATCTGGAAGATTTGATAAGATATTATAGTACTTCACATAATACTGGGCATATAAATACATGATAAATGTTTTCTCCTAATGTTTTTATTTACTTATTTATTTATTTTTTGAGACAGAATCTTGCTCTGTTGCACCGACTGGAGTGCAGTGGCATGAGATGTTGGCTTGCTGCAACCTCTGCCTCATGGTTTCAAGCAATTCTTCTGCCTCAGCCTCCCAAGTAGCAGGGATTATAGGCATGCACCACCATGCTCATCTAATTTTTAGTAGAGACAGGGTTTCAACATGTTGGCCAGAATGGTCTTAAACTCCTGACCTCAAGGGATCCACTCATGAGAAATTGGTCTTCCAAAGTGCTGGAATATCAGGTGTGAGTCACTATACCTGGCCTATGTTTTTATGATATTGTTAATTTAGTGCTATTCTGAGTAAAAGTCATTTGCTATTAAGGTTTTATGGATTGACTGTTTTATAAATTGACTATGACAATTTTTACAAATATCAGTGCTTTTATAAGGTGAAAGATTATTTTGTGGGGGTTTTGTTGTGATGGTGGTTTATTAGATTATTTTGTTTAAAGACAATAATGTTCAGCTGTTGTGAAATTATAAAAACTGAAATTATAAAAACAATCCACATTTTATAATTTTAAAGCAATATTAATGGTAGTTGCCTTAGGGAAAGATACTTTTGTTATAGTATAAAAGTATGATATTCAAGCTTAGTGTACAGCAAAGGATATTAAATCTAAGAACTAATGTGTTATATGGTGCACTTGAAATGTTAGTGCAAATATCAATGTTTAGCAAATCGACCTTAACACATAATGATAGCGAAAAAATGGAGCTGTTTTGATGGGAGACTGTTGATTATGTTTGATTTTAATACTCCCTTTTCTCTTGACTTTTCTTTTTTTTTCTTTGAAACAGTCTTGCTCTTTCACCCAGGCTGGAGTGCAGTGGTGCGATCTCAGCTGACTGAAACCTCCACTTTTCAGGTTGAATTTATCCTCTTCCCTCAGCCTCCCTAGTAGCTAGGACTACAGGCGAGTGCCACCATGCCTGGCTAATTTTTTTATTTTTAGTAGAGATAGGGTTTTACCATGTTGACCAGGCTAGTCTCAGACTCCTGACCTCAGGTGATCCACCCATCCTGGCCTCCCACAGTGCTGGGGTTACGGGTGTGAGCCACCCCCACCTGGCTAGCACTTGACTTTTTTTTTTTTTTGAGATAGAGTTTTGCTCTTGTTGCCCAGGCTGTAGGGCAATAGCTCAGTCTCAACTCACTGCAACCTCTGCCTCCTGGGTTCAAGCTATTCTTCTGCCTCAGCCTCTGGAGTAGCTGGGATTACAGGCATGTGCCATGGTTAATTTTGTATTATATTAGAGATGGGATTTTTTCATGTTGGTCAGGCTAGTCTGGAACTGTCTACCTCAGGTGATTTGCCTGCCTCAGCCTCCCAAGATGCTGGGATTACAGGTGTGAGCCACCATGCCCAGCTCAGCTCTTGACTTTTTATAGCTGTTCTATTAGTTGAATCTCCAGTAAATAAATGCTAGCTTAAAAGTTGCAGTTCAGGGAATCTTCTGTTTCTGTTATTAAAAAATACATATTTTTATAAGCCCAATAAGGTTACACTAATGTTTATGTTTTGAAAATATTACCTCTTCCATTTAGTACTATGTGTATTAAATAATATTAGCTGGTATATTTTTCTCACTTTATAATGTGGTTCAGATTTCTGTAGAATGTCTGGCTGTATCTACATTGCCTTAAAGTAATGGGATCTACCTATCTTTTCTTTTCTTTTCTTTTTGAGCTGGAGCTTTGCTCTTGTTACTCATGCTAGAGTGCAATGGGGTGATCTCAGCTCACTGCAACGTCTGCCTGCTGGTTTTAGGTGATTCTTTTATCTCAGCTTCTCAAGTAGCTAAGATTACAAGCACCCACTACCACAACTGGCTAATTTTTGTATTTTTCATAGAGATGCAGTTTTGCCATATTGGCCAGCCTGGTCTCCAATTCCTGACCTCAGATGATTCACCTGCCTTGGCCTCCCAAGTGCTAGCATTACAGGGGTAAGTCATCCTGTCTGGCTGTAATGGGATATTTCACTGCAAACTGATAAACAGAATATTAGCATTTTTGGTGTTCTTTTTATATTCCTCACATGATTTTTCTTTGGACTGAATTACAATAACAGAAGTAAAGATGAAATTATAAAAGTTAAAAAGCAATACCTTGCTTGGTGGCTCATGCCTGTAATCCCAGCACTTTGGGAGGCCAAGGCAGATAGATCACGGGGGTGAGGAGATCGAGACCATCTTGGCAAACATGGTGAAATTCTTTCTTTACTAAAAGTCTAAAAATTAGCTGGGCATGGTGGCGGGTGCATGTAGTCCCAGCTACTCAGGAGGCTTAGGCAGGAGAATGACTTGAACCTGGGACATGGAGGTGGCAATGAGCTGAGATTGTACTGCTGCACTCCAGCCTGGTGGCAGAGCAAGACTCCATCTGAAAAATAAAAAGTTAAAGAGCAATACAGATTCAATAATTATTCTTTTCTACAAATTATGTTTAAAGGATCTCCCTTTTTCTTTTTGTCCTTATAGCTCAAACTGTAAAAGCCAAAGGTCTGGTGATGATCCTATACCCCTTTTTTCCAGTCTCATGTTGAAGATCTTTACATAGAAGGACTTCCCAGAGGATTTTTTTTTTTTTTTGAGATGGAGTTTTCACTCTTGTCACCTCGGGTGGAGTGCGGTGCCATGATCTCGGCTCACTTCAACCCCTGCCTCCTGGGTTCAAGCAATTCTCCTGCCTCAGTCTCCATATGGGCCAGGCTGGCCTTGAAATCCTGACCTTGTAATATACCTTCCTCAGCCTTCCAAAGTGCTGGAATTACAGGCATGAGCCACTGCGCCTAGCCTATTTTATGTATTTTTATCTTCCCCTTTTTAATTTATCGGGATCCAACTTTGAGTCAGTCATGCCAGTGTTAGCTGTTGAAACATGAACACTGCCCACACCTGACTGGCATGCAACTTACATTTTCTTTTACAATTTTCTGCTACTTTTGCTAAAGAAAATAGTATCCATATCTTGCATTTAGGCCTGAGATTTTTAAAGCATATATGGGAATATATGATTGTTTTTGTAGATATGTAGAGGAAGATAACCTTGAATGTAATGCAATATTAAAGGATCCCATTTAAGATTTTTGTAATATGCTTAAAAGAGCTGTGTGTTGTCATGTTACCACTTTACTTGTGAGGACGCGTGCTCCATGAAGCAACTTATGAGACAATTTGCAATTTTTTTTGTTGTTGTTTTTACTCTGTAGAAACCTCAACTGAAGATTTAGTTGTGCTCAAGCATTTAGATTGTCTTTTCTTAATTTTTTTCCAAGATGGAGTCTTGCTCTGTCACCCAGGCTGTAATGCAGTGGTGTGATCTCAGCTCACTACAACCTCCCTCTCTTGGGTGCAAGCAGTTCTCCAGCTCAGCCTCCTGAGTAGCTGCAATTCCAGGTGCCTGACACCACACTCAGCTACGTTTTTTTATTTTTAGTAGAGATGGGGTTTTACCATGTTGGCCTGGTTGGTCCCAAACTCTTGACCTTGTGATCTGTCTGCCTCAGCTTTCCAAAGGGTTGGGATTACAGGCAGAAGTGACCGTGCCCATCCTGCCTTTTCTTTTCAAAACCTCCCTTGGTGATCAAGTATTAAATATGTACTAATGGATATTACTTTGCTAAATATTGCCTAGTGAATATTAAATATTTATTCTGACCTTTCAGACATAAACTTTTGAATTCAATAACTGAAGATTTACAACTTGGTAAATCAGCTTCTGGAGGTAGGTCTTCAGTCTTAAGTCAGATGAGAAGGTTACGTGCAATAATTATTTAATGATTAACATTGATTTCTTTAATGGTACCTTCCACATGAAATAATATGTCTCTAACTATTAATTATTTGTCAGGATAAGAGAATTCATGTTGTCAAAATTCTAATACTCTGTAAAACAGTCAACTCATTTTCTTTGTATTAACACATTATACATACATGTAGATACTGGATTAATGGGTAAGCAGAAGTAAAATAACAATCTTTGTCCTACTTCTGAGATACAAGATTTATCTGGCATAGTGCATGGAACAGTTTATTGTTGAAGTCTATGCCAGTCAACTGAACAAGCATTCATCAAATGCCCATGATACCCAGGACATAAGGAGGTTTCCTATTAGAGTATGGAGCCACGCATATCGTGTCTTAATTGTTATATGTGTTTTCAAAGAAATAAAATTGATTTTCTCACTAGTTTTGGCTCTGGTGTGGAGTGGGGACAAAACAGAATGGAATCACACTGTTTAGATTTACTAAAATGGGAGGATCGCCAGCAAGATCATGTCCCTAGTCTCCCCATAGTAAATGTCACCTGCTAGCTGTTTCTCTTTCTTTCTTTTTCTTTCCTTCTTTTCCTTTCTTTTTCTTTCTTTCTTTCTTTCTTTCTTTCTTTCTTTCTTTCTTTCTTTCTTTCTTTTCTTTCTTTCTTTCTTCTTTCTTTCTTTCTTTTTCTTTCTTTCTTCTTTCTTTTTCTTTCTTTCTTTGCTTCTTTTTCTTTCTTTCTTTTTTCTCTTTCTTTTTCTCCTTCCTTCCTTCCTTCCTTCCTTCCTTCTTCTTTCTTTCATTTTTGTAGAGATGGATTTCACCATGTTGGCC